GGGAAGCCCTGCGGGCTGCGCTGCTCTAATTATAGCCGGTGGTGTCAGCCACCGCTGCCGGGACTCCCCTCGCTGCTTGCCGGGGCTGCCGAGCTCCCGTGGGGCTCCTCCCAGGGTTCTTGGGCCGCCTTGGTGAAAGCTGCCAAGCTGAGCCTGTTACTCGAGGGGTGTGAAGGAAACGGGGTGGGTGCTCCGGGGCAGCGCCAGCTCCGCTGCATGTGACCCTGGAGTAAACCTGAACACAGCATTGGTTCCTGGTGATTGTTGTGTTACAATTCGCCCGAAGGCTCAAGGTTGGGAGCAAGCCTGTGTGATGCTTTCCCTGTCTTGATGAAGCACATGTGTTCTTGCAGCAAGGCCTCTGATGTGGGAAATTTTGGTCTGCAAATCTTGTGGCAGGAGGTCTGATGGGGCTAGGCAGACAAGACAGTCTAGACAAATATTTCTGTCATTCCAGATGAGGTTCCAGGTTATTTTGTCTCTGCCCACCATGTTGAACAGGTCAATGGGCGCTGAGGTTTAGTGAGCTAACGGGAAATGCTTGTTCAGTTTGGTGCACGTCTGAGCCAACACATCTCTGGACTTTGACCCACAGGCTCAGGATCACGTTGATCTCATTTCTGGCTGAGTATGAGCTGCTCCTTCCAGCTCCAACCACAGCCTCTCACTTTTACTTTATCTTTCAACAAAACATAATGCAGTCTTGCAGTCTTGACTGTGTGTCCATGACAAGAGTAATGTGCTCAAAAGGAGAGTCAACAAGTCCTTCTCACATGTCCAGCTGCTTTGCCTGAGGAAGGAAAACCATCAGCTGCCGTGCTGGCATGTAGGCTGGGTGCTGTAGGAGGGGGTCTTTGGAAACCAGCCACAACTGACTACCAGGTGGGAGAATTTCTGACTAACAGTTGGATGAGATTAGAAAAGATTAAACTCCTTGCTGCAAAAAACAGGAAATTGAAGTTTGAAGCTGTTAAATGTAACTAGAGAAGCTTTAGGGAAGGGAAACCAAATACTTCTGCTTTTCCTGCTCTTGCAAGAGGAGAGGATGCTTAATTTTTCTGACAAGTATTCAAAACAAGTACTTACACTTGGTGCCCCATTTTTTTCTGTGACATTTTTCAAGCCAGCAGTGGCAATTAACTGTATTTATACTGATTCTTGGCAAGTTTTGATTTACTGTCCCAAAGAGAGTCACAAAAAGAGACCATTTCATCATCACTCTCCTGATTTCAGGGTGTTGATTTTTGTAAAAGCATCTAAGTGATTTTTAGACAAATGCAGGTTTTAGTTTAATCATTTTACTCCTGTGGAATAATTATGAAATAGAGACATTTGCATGTCTTGTGTTAAGGAAGGCAAGAACCTCTTCAGTGAGCAGGACACTCCATCTAGGATAGAGTCTCTGCCTCTTGTGGAACCACAGAATGGCTTGAGAGTTGGAAGGGACTTTAAAGATCATCCAATTCCAATCTGACCTAGAATACTTCTGGTTTTTCTTTGTAATGTTTGTAATCAGCTGGTAAGATCTACTTGAAGCTTCACACCTCTGAGAATACTGAGGTGCTTTGGAAGCAGTTTTCACATGTACAAACTCTCTTCTGTACCATCATTTCTGCCAGTACAGCTGCTTCTGGAGCCTTGTGGGAAAACGGCAAAAAATGGGTATTTTTAACCTAAGTCAGTTAATTCTGTAGCTGGGCAGCTGGGGGAAGAAAGGACGTTGCTTGATCAAAGTTTGCTAACAGTACTTTCAAAACCAGACAGGTGCAGGAGGAATTCTGTGTGTTTTGAACTTTTTTCTGTAGATTTTACTTCTATTTATGCTGCATTTAATCACTAGTTCCTGTAAAAGCATTACACCTGTTCTTTAGAGCATCTTCCCCCTTGATGGCTTAATCCATCCATGTCCCCAGTGGGGTGCTGGGCTTCCTGCTCACTCCATGTCCTGGGTTCCTGCCAAGCTGCTCAGTCTCATTCCCAAGTTCTACAGAAACCTCTCCAGGGATGTGCAGTGAGTGCAACCTGTTGCCTTGTCTCAGCTCCCAGAGAGGTATTTCTCTTACAATTTCTGATCTTTCAGGTATTTCATTTTTGTCGACTCTCATCTTCTGGACTTGGAAACAGTGCCATGGAGCTATTTTGGTAACACCACATTTAAGTTCTTGTTCCCTCCATATTTGCTTTTGCAAAGGCGATGTAAAGGGAGCTGGAGCAGAGTGCAGGATATGATATATTGCTTAATTGCATGCATTTGTTTAAAAAGAGCCTCACAACCAAATCTATGTATCAGAATCTTTTGAGTTTCAAAGTAGTTTGGTGTTTGGAATTACACACGGAGGCATCTCTTCTCACACTTGCCCACATTTTCCTGCCTTTCCAATTAGCACCCTCATGTTCACATTGTTTGAAGAAGATTGGCTTGGGTTTTTGTTCTTTAAATTCTGATATATGTCAAAGGTCTTTGGAGCTGGACAGCAAAATATTGTATATGCAGGAAAACATGAAAAAAACTTAAACGACTACTATGAATTCTGAGAACTTAATCCTTCTTTAGAAAAAAATAAAAGGATTTGAAAGTCTTGTTTTCTGTTTCACTACTTCCACTGGTACCACCTTGTATAATATTTTCCATAAACAGATCTATTTGCATTTTAATAATAGATTCTTTTTTCAATCCTTCCCAGAATGTCAGCTGCTAGTACATTGCTCCACACTCTCAGTGATTCTGAAGTTTCGCAACTTTCATTACCTTCCATCATAAAGATATAGTTTGTTCTTAGGCCCAGGTTGTCCTTTGCATTTGAGTTCTCCTCCTCCTCCTTTGTACTCTTCTTCACCCTGATTCACATATTGCTGTGCATCTGCTCATCTTCATCTGCCCTTCCCATCAGACCCTGCTGGTTTCTCTTGCAGCATGGACAGTCCCTTGGCCATCCTACTCATCTTCCTGTGCCATTTTAGGCAGGGGTGGGTCACTAGAATCAGATGCTTTATCTCAGCTGAGAGCCTGTGCTCTGCACTGTAATGCTGATACTTCTACATCTCTCTAGGGAATTTCCCATGATCTTATTTTTCCCATTTTTCAGATTTACCATGTTGAGAATGTATTAACATCCAGAGATCAGGCAGTTCATCTGACTCTTCTACTGTGCTCCATTACTGGAAAGGGCTGACTGGAAGTTCTTGTTAATCACACCCAAGTGCATAGCCATGCAGTTTTGTATGTCCAGACTTCATCTGGTTTCTAATATATCACTCTGGATGCTTCTCCAGTTCCCACTCTAGTTCTCTGCATTGACAGTTCCTTCTGGAGGTCTGTGTAGTTCAGAAGTGATTTGGATTCCTGTCAGATGTGGGCTGATACTTGGACAAACTGGAGTAATTTTAACAGGTTTCCAAAATGTCTCCTGTATGAAGCACAATTCTATTTTAACTCCAACAAGAAAACCAAACAAAATGTAGTTCTGCAGATGCAGCTGACAGTAATCTAAGTACCCTACTCAACCCACTAGCTGATTTAGTTGTTTAATTACTTGACAGCACAAATGCTTGAGGATCATGGAGTGTTCAAGATTTGATTTTCTATTATATTTCTTTTTTGTCTTGCAAAACTATCACTGATAGCTAATTTACTGTGATGGTAGTGCTCAGCTGCTTACGAATGGAAAGGTGATAGGGAGGAAAACAGAACATGTATTTTTGTAGAGACTGGCTGTCCTTCCCCAGTAATCCACGTCTAAAGTCTGTGGCAGACCCTACTGATGGTGCTCATATTGCCAGTTCCCGATGGTGCTGTTATGTACTGTGCATTGGTCTTTCAAAATAAAGAAAGGAGTCAGAAAAGTGTCCAAATGTGTCTTTCAGCAGCAGAAGCAATTCTCAAAGAAGTGTTTGTATGCTTATTAACTTCAGAGCTGACTTCTAGGGAAAGGGATGGGATTGCAGCCCAGGGTGTCTGTGGTGGCTTTGCTGAAAGATGTGAGAACATGCTCTGTGTACTGACCTGAATCTCTGCCCACTAGGTATGAGAGCACTGTGCAGGTTGGCAAACTGCAGGACCTCATCAACCGGAGTAAGATGGCCAGGTGTAGAGGACGCTTTGTTTGCCCAGTCATTCTGTACAAGGGAAAGGTAAAGCTTCATGGGTTTACCTGTCTTTACTGAGAAAATTACCTTTCTCTCTGCCATTTGAACTGTGCAGACATATTTTCAGTCATTTGTCACTTTTCCAAGTGGTATAAAAATCTGTGCTTAACTACAAGCAGACAGCCTGTATTAGCAGGTAGCATTTGCTGTCTACGCTGCATAAGTTGTCTCCAGGCACTTCAGGCTCTTCTCCCCCACCAAGTCATGAGCCTTGCATCAAAGATCTAGCTTTTTTTTTTCCCTCCTCTAGATGTCTCTTTTGAAATCTTTAAGATATTTGGCATTTCAGAGGGGAAAGATAATTATTGTCCCTGTTTGTCCCTTGCTCTTCCCAACAGCTCTCTTTGAGTAACTTTCCTCTCTCTCGAGAGAAGTTTCCTTTGTCTGTTCCCTCGGGAGGCAAGATTGCATAAATGGTCTTATGAATGTGTAGGCTTGTCTGCAAGGGGATCTGTAAGAAAGTGAAATTAGATTCATTTTTATGTAAATTACTTAAACTGTGTTGAAGCCCTGTAGGAATAGTCTCATTTAGAATTTAAGTAGCTTAATTCAGTTTTCTTAGTTGAATTTAGAAATACTGTATGAATAGCAAAATCATACCTGTGACAATTTTAATCTAGCTTGACTGAAGCCATCATGGACTGCATCTGCTGACCTTTTTCTGCAGAAGTGAACTGCCCAGAGTTGTCTTGAGGCCATCCATAATCTCATCCAGAGGAATGTGGAAATAAGGCTCAAGCAAGGCATTTACAGAACATGTGTTGCTAACTTGGCAGGAACTGACTATCTTAATGCATTGGAGAACTGGAAATGGAAATATGATTTAAAAAGCAGCTACAGATAAAAGCACTTGGGAGTTTTCCTTGTTTAGAGAACTCAATCCAGGGACCACGGTTGCAGGGCAGACAGCTGAGAGATGATAGCTGTAGGTATCAACCTTTTCTATGTAACCTGACAGCAAATAGTCATGATAAGGGAAAGACTCCTGGAGCCTGTGTGATTAATGCAAAAATCTTCCTCCAGCATATTTGCAGATCAGCCACACTGGCCGGCTGGGGTGAGCTCTATGGGCGCACTGGCTACAACTATATCTTCTCTGGTGAGTGAGGAGCTATTTATCACAGTCTGCATGGTAAGGCTGGTCAGTGCTGGGACAGGGACCTGCACATGAGGCCAAGCTCTTCCTAAGACCAGCGAGAGCTCTAGCATGGGCTGCTTGTATCAGGCTTAGCATAACAGAGCGAAGACTGAAACCTCATGTCTGGTTTCCAAGCACTTTGCTACAGGACAGTGCCACAGCTCAGTGACGAAAGAACTTGAGGCTGAAGAGTGAGCTACAGGAAACGTAGGCAAATAAAGGCATCACAAAGGATTCAGGGTACCAATTCCCAAACACTGGGGATGGGAATAGTGGAGGAAAAAGGATTAGAACTTGCTGTTGCTTGACTAATCATTGGGAATCAATGCTGCTAATAGTGAGATATACTGGACTCCAGGGAAGGCTCTTCAGGGGAATAGTGGGTGTCTGTAGTGTGGGAGCTGAAGCTTCGCTTAAAAAAGCACTGCGTACTATTATTGAGGTGTCCTCTGGCTGTCAGTCATGGGTTTGACCTGCCCAGGTACTTTGCAATGACAAGGAAAGAGTGGACTACATTAGAAAACAAGATTTTCAGGAAGAGGAAATGTGGAGAGCCACATTTAGGTGTGAAAAGAAGGCACCAAACCATGACCTTTTTGTTAGTGTACATACCTTGTCAGATTTGGGATCAAGTTGGTTTACAAAAGCTTCAATTCTTAATGCCTTTCTTGTAGGAGGTTCTGATGATGCTTGGGCAGATGCAGAAGACATTTCCGAGGAAGACTCTGCATTTAGGTTTGTATGCATCAGTGGGATGAGGAAAAGGGAGTTTGGACATAAGCTGTCTGGCTCAGGCACTCAGTTCTGCTCTTTTCTAGTTTGGATTTTGGACATAGGCTTAAGACCCATCACAAGGCTCAGGGGCTTACTTTCCTTGCTTTTGGAAAAGAGTCTTGAGTATTAATGGCTGGCTGAACCTAGTGTAGCTGAAGCCTGCTAATCTGTTGCCAGAGGGAAAGGCTGGAGACAGGAATATGTAGAGCCATTAAAAAAAGGTATTTGAAGGGCATAGCTGTGTTTACTTCATCAAAAAGTACATCTCCAGGGTGTAGAAATTGTACTGTATATTATGTATTTGTTGCAGAAAGGAATTAGATGTGGGAAGAGGCTATGAGCACAGAGGTTGCAGTCTGACTCAGACCTGTGGAGTGCTGCTTATGGCTAGAAGTGGTTCAGGGAGGAACTGTGGCTTAGCTGGGAAGAATCAGACTCAACTTGGTCAGTCTTCCATGCTCACCTTGCTTGTCTCGTTCTGTCTTGCAGAAATGCAGATTCCCAGCTGTTTGACAAGGTCAGAGGACACGACATCAAGCTGCTTCGATACCTGTCTGTCCGATACATCTGTGACCTGATGGTGGAAAACAAGAAGGTGAAATTTGGCTTGAAGTGAGTCTGGGTTCATTTGTTTTTATGCAGGCTTTGATTTGCAGCTAGTGTAGCCCTTACATGTGAATTGCTGTCAGGATGCATTCAGCATCCTGGAAGCAATCCCTGGAAGAATTACACAGCAGGATAGGTTATTTGATGCTGTAAAGAAGACCCCAAGGTTTTAGATCACAGAAAACTGTATAAATGGGCAACAGAGCTGCTTTTATCTGTCTTCTGCAGTCTAAATGGCTTTTTCCCTGTAGAGCTTATAGTAAGAAGACAGTCACCCCTTCAGAAGGGAGACAGCAAAGGTGCCCTCTGTGCATAGGAACCGAGGGAGATACTTCTCCTGTTTATCTCAGAGAAAAGCTTTAGTGATTTTGGGCTGTACCTATTTATGTGTATGTGTTGAGTAAGTTCTGCCTCTGCTCACAACTGAGTCAAGTCATAGTGCAGGGAGATACAGCAGGTGGGTTTTTGGGTGCTGGTGTCTGTGTGAAAAACACTCTGTAAATATCTGCTATTCTCCTCTTGTCCTATGCAGTGTGACGTCTTCTGAGAAGGTGGACAAAGCTCAACGTTACGCTGATTTCACACTTCTCTCCATCCCATATCCAGGTACAGGAATGATGTCCAAAGGGATTCACAAGGGACAGGTGACAATCCATTTCTGGGGACTGGGAAATAACTCTGTGTGTGTTTATGGAAATGACCATGACTTGCTGATTGCTTCCTGTGTTTCTGCTGGAGAAAAACTCCTTTAAACTGAGACCAGTGCAATGAACCTGGATGCTCTGGCAGTGTGAGTTATTATTAGGCATTCTTTGAGGTGGCAAAATAATTTCTCAACAGTCCTTATTAATTCAAGCACGTAGGAAAAGTCCCAGAGATGTAGCTGATTAAGATGGCCTTTGACATCTCTGCAACTCCAAACTACTACTTGATGCAAAATATATATCTTGTTCTCTGTTATGTAAAAACCCAATTCTTAAGGGTAATTTCTAGTCTAGTGTTTCAGAGCTCCACTGTAAGAAATCCTGAGTGCTTGCAGAATAGTTCACCTGAGCCTGCAGTGTACAACAGAGGCAGCCCTTTGCAGCCTGTCTCCCTGGCTATATCCATCCCTGTGCCTAGCAACCGCTGCTGGGTCACTTGCACTCTTACAGATGAACTGAATATTCCTGCCTGCCTGCTGATGTCAGGATTGGCGACAGGATCAGATGCGAGGCTGCTGTGCTTGAGGTCTGTCTGCAGACTCTTCTTTCTCCCTAGTGCACAAAGAAAGGAAGAGGAGAAAAAACCAAAACCCAGAAAAACTGGTGGATGATCCAGACCCAGACTTTTCTTTGATTGCTAGTTGTTACTCTTAAACATTTTTTTTTAAAGGTGTATTTCCTTTTATACAGAAATTAGTGACAATAGAGAAGCTGCATGAAGATTTTTATCGAGTTTGCCATGCAGGTTGCTAAAGTGTGCAGAAATAAGAGTATTATTGATTTTTGTAGTACATAGCAGAGGTATATGTTGCTGCTGCACACATTACCAGACTTGGAACATGAGAAAGACTGTGTACATAGGTCTTCTGTAGGGCTGTAAGGAATGAGGAAGTGACTCTATAGAGTTAAGCTGCAGAGTTGTTTCTGTATGGGGATCTGCATATGGTAAGCAATATTATTCAGTGATGGTCCTTCCTCTTCTGCCCTCTGGGACAGCTGCTTTCTTTTAGCAGCTCTTCATTGCCACGCTAGAGATAAACCTTATAAAACTGCAAATACTCCCTGCAGATGTTGCCTGATTTCAGCAGTGCTGGTCCATGGGGGAATGTTGTCATTCTGTTAAATCTAAGGCATACACATCTAAGGATCAGCAACCCCTCTAGTGACTGGCCAAATGCCATGATACATTCTTATTAATGTTTCCAGGGTTGTACTGGAAGAATTTCTGTTTCATAATTTGTTTTTGAAGTTATTCTGAGATCCTGTTGCCTTAGGTGAGCAAGGCAGTGTCCAAACAGTCATAGAATTGTTTTGGTTGGAAAATACCTTTAAGATCATCGAGTCCAATTGTCAACTCAGCACTGCCCAGTCCCCTACTAAACTGTGTGCCTGAGTGCCACATCTACCTGTCTTTTAAATATCTCCAGGGCTGGTGACTCTTCTCCTTGCTGAGGGTACAGTTGTTCCCCTCATCCAGATCATCAATAAAGGTATTAAATAGGCCTGGCCCCAGTACAAACACCAACTGGATTTAACTCCATTCACCACCACTCTTTGGGCTCAGCCATCGAGACAGATTTTACCAAGGAAAGAGTAAGAACTGCCTGGAGTGAAAGACTTGAGTTAAAATGGGGTATCTGTTGAATCTTTTAGTGTTTGTGGATGCCAACACTTATGCCATAATCCCCCATTCTTTGCATGAAGTCATTGTTTAATTGGAGTTAAATCTCAACTGACAGACTGTGTCCTGACTGTATATTTGAGGATTAGTCCTATCCTTGCACAAAGATTCTTTACTTGGTTTTTGGGTTTTTTTTCCATTGAAGTTACTTGTGACTTGTGGGGTGGGAATCTCTCTCCATGTCCGGTGCCTGGCCCAGGGGTGTCTGGGTGGTGTGGGCACTGTGGCACTGCTGAGGTGTACACAGCACACTGGGAGAGGTGTTTTGTGTAGCCTGCAGTCAGCCGCAGTGCTAATGGTGCTGCTCAGCTGTGACTAAGTGACTGCAGCTTGCAGCGGAGACTTCAAATAGTTGTTTGAGAAGACCTGAGCCAAAGGACACACTTCAGGAGGGGAAGCCTTAGGGGACAGCTTTGAAGTGGTTACATGGTTACTCCTTCCTTCAGGTGGGGTAAATCCTATGTTTGAAAGAGAAGACTTAAATGTAAGAGAAATCACAGCCACCTCTGACAGCCCTTTCTTGTTACCTGCTGCAGATGCCCTGTGAAAGTTGGCTTTCCCTGGGGCTCTGCCAAGACCATTTGGTGGTTCCTTCTCACTCAGCATGTCAAGCTGATGCCTTAGATCTGTGCAAAAGTCCATGGTCCTGCAAAACATAGCTCTTTGGTGAAACCTTTTGTTCAGGAAAAAATTAAATCAGTCCCTCAGGCTCCGCATTTGCTGTATTTGGAGTTTGCCCTTTGCTGTGTGAGTGTCTGTACTGCTAAGTGCCCTGGGTTGTTGTTGCTGGAGGCCATGCTGCACAGTGTACTGAGGATTGCTGCTCTTCTCTTCCCACAGGCAGCAGTTTTGATTGGTTTGGATTTCTGAAGCCTGGGGCTGCCAGCACTCCCAGTCCCACAGGGCACTTCACTTGTTAGATACCAGTTAGCTGAATCCTTGTTCATTATCTCCTTTTCTTTCAGGCTGTGAATTTTTTAAGGACTACAAAGACCGGGATTATACAGCTGAAGGTCTCATATTTAACTGGAAACAGGTACATGGATGTTACAAAATGGAGAGCCTTGTGTTTTAGTGGGCTTAAGTCTTGCCTCCCTGTTCCTCAGTGATGGTGTGTATGTCATGTGCCTATTTCTGATCACAAGGAGGAAATCAACAGGACAAACAAAACAGATAGGGAACGTATTAAATTATTGATTGTAAAATTCATATGTGAAATAAATAAACCATTGTCCTGAAGTGCAGGATGCTTGACCTCTCATGGAAAGTATGGATTGCTTCCAATTTTGAATTCTGACCTCATTGATAGCCTTGGTTCTCAGTTCTTTCTTCATATTCTGTCTCCAGCTGAGGGGTGGTTGGGTGGGGCAGTCTTACAGATATTCAGAGACTAACATGCCCAGTTAGTTTCATTGTTGGGAACACATAAAAACTCCTCTTGTCCATTAGTCCTTCCAAGAGTCTGAGTTTATTCTTACATCTTCAGGATTTTGCATTCAAAGATGCTTTGCTGAGATGTTTTCTTCTCATGCACCATTTGGCATTTTTTGATTTGGTTTTTTTTTTTTTTCTGGAACTCACTCTCTTCAAGTCATGGCTTTTATCTGACCAACTGTGTTTGGCTTTTTTACAGGACTATGTAGATGCTCCATTAAGTATCCCAGTCTCTCTGACCCAATCTCTGAATATTGATTGGAGCGAGTACCAGGTGAGCAAAGTGGATGTCTCTGTGGGAGGTCAGGGATGTATTCAGGAAGGATCAGGAGAGATTTGAAGTCTTACTTTCTCCTACTGCTGTAATCTGGCTCATTTCATAGCATCCCAGTGGGGGCGAGGCTGCTTGACAGCTCAGAACAGCAGTGGAAATCCTGTACCCAAAAGCTCCATGGCTTGCTGTGCCCTCAGGCAGCTGCCTGTAAACTCAAACCTTATTCTGTAGCTTTTGAAAATTTGCAATCCATCAAGGAGATAGGTTGCTAACAAAGGGAAGGAACAAGACAGGAAACAGAAAGCAGTATTACCTGTTCACAGTCTGGGCCTGCCCTGGGCAGCCTGCCTTGGCTGTGTGAAATCTTGACAGAGGTCAACCTTCTCCTCTGTGAGCAGAGCCAAGGGACTGGGCATCTTCTTCATGGGCGTGCAAGGTGCCTTCTTATGGGAGAGGAGTAGAGAATCATAACTGACCATGGCAGGTTTCCACTACTTATTATGGACAGCATGGCAAACAGTAATTGAAGTCTTCTGTTTGCTCAAGCTTCAGAGTCTACCTTTGCTCACACCAGGGAGTATCACCTTATACTACTGATTATTAGTATGTTCCATTTCACACATCAGTGGGTCTACCAGGTTTTGTTGGGATGGACTGTGCTGAAGCATGTCACATTACTGTGCTCTGTGGCTGGAAGCACCACAGAACCAGCAGAGCTCCCTGTTTGTTGTCAGTGATGTAAGTACTGTTTAAGTGCTAGCACATGCAGAATCACAGAAAAGTTGAAGCAGAACTAATAGAACTACAGCTTGTGTATGGCTAGAAACTCGTTCACTAGAATACTGAGCAGTCAGTATTTTAAAAAGGATATTAAAAATTGAAGAGAGTGTAATAAATAGATGCAGAAATTATTTGAGGTCCGGAGAACATGTTTCACTCAAAACTGAAGTTCTCAGTCTGTTTAGCTAATCACTAACATGATGGAGGGTTGACTTGATTAATGTGTAAGTACATTTGTAGGGAGAAAATAGTAATTCTAAAGCACTCTTCAATCTGGGGAAAAAGAAGAGCTGCATAGGAAGCAATATCTGCATCTGAAATCAGATCTTCAGATGAGGAAAATCAGTATTGCATGTTATTTTTGAGGATAATCTGCTGGAACATGCTGCCAGAGTAGTAATGAGCTGTCACCCCTATTTGAGATACTTCTCTGGGCAAAGATGTTGCCAAGTGCAAGCTTCAGGCTTTACGTGGGGCAACTGAAGAAAACTTGCTTGTTTGTGGTATAGAGAGATCAGACTGGATAATTGGATGATGCCTTCTGAAATAAGCAGAAGATGGATTGAATTGGGCAGATAAAAGGTTTTGTAATTATGTGTTTTTCTGCTGCAGGCTGACTGTGTTCCCCGTTTTCCTACTGTTTTGTGGCTCGGCAGGCTTCGTGGCTGAGCAATATGTTCTTTGTCTGACACTAGGCTTCAGTGTGGTTACACACAGATGTGCACACATGCAAGCACACGGCGAGGGTTCTGTTGTTTGTGGTCACATGTCACTTGTATCACTAACACTTCTGCGTGAAATGTGTCCCACTCTGCTTTTTCCTTGCCAGTGTTATCTTATTTCCCTTGAGCTAGTCCTGATTCTGATCAAACCATTGAAATTCTCTGAACCTGCTTGTGACATGATGGTCAAGTGACAAGCTTGGGCTTGTTCTGATGTCCTGTAGTACTGGAGTTCTCTGAGTTCAGAGCCCTTCTGTAGTTCTTGGGAGTTACTGAAGAAGTCCAGTGCCTGTCTGGAGGCTGGTTGAGGGTCAGCCCTCTGCCAGCAGCCTGCTGGGGACATTTTCAGGGACCACAGAGTTTGAGCAAAGTGCTTGGGTTGTGGGAACAGGCCGCTGGCCTTGGCCTGCACGTCCCATTGTGCTGCTGGTGTTGCACACATGGCTGGAATGTGGCTCAACCACTTGGAAAAGTGCACGTGTGCAGAACTGGGTCAGTGCTCTGCAGGTGTTTGCTGCCTCTCTAAGCTGCCTCTCTTGGAGCTCTGGGGCTGCAAGCCAGGAAGACAGTAGAGATGGCATTTTATTGTTTTATTTTCCTACCTGGTACCTTGTCCTAGAGTGCCTTTTGCAGAGGGTGGGGAGATTGATACAAAGGAGAAGTCTGTCACTTTGAGGAATGGCCATGTGGTTATTTCTGCTTTGCTGCTATTCTGGATAGAACAACTCTGAACTGCAGAGCAGCCTTTTGCTGTGGGCAGACCCTTACCATCAACATTCCTCTTTCTGCAGAGCTGGGACCTTGTACAACAGACACAGAACTACCTGAAGCTACTGATCTCCATTATCAATAGTGATGGTAAGGCAAACTCCTTGCTCCCAGCAGTGTAACTGGAGCAGTCCCTGTCCCTGGAAGAACAGCTGATGGTATTAGTGTGACTGTGGATCAACTCTCAATACAGAAGTCACTTTTAATTCTCTCCCTTCAAAACAGGGTAATGGTCCTACCATCTCAGAACTCCAGCTGTCCTCTTAGAGAGGGACTTACTAATTCCTTGAAAACCCTTTCTTCCTGAACACGAAGGGACATCTGAAAACTTAGCCTATTGTTTTACTACTTTAAACCTGAAGAGAAGGAACATTGTGTCTTTGCTTTTTGACTCTTGCTCTTGTTTTGCTGGTTACCTGTGTTTTGTCTCCTCAACAGAGGATCTCATTTGGTACCTGTTTAAGAGCCCCTTCCACCCTCTTTCATCAAGAACACCCCAACTCTTTGAAGAGTGTCTGTTGCCCTGTGTGGTCTCATTCCCTCTGGGCACTGTGACCTAGTACTGATGGATGGAGCCGTGGCTGGCTCTGACAGCATGGCCAGCTATACTCTCCTGCAGTACCTGTGGGTTTTCTGTAGGGTGTAGGATTTGTGCCTTTTGTGTGCTCATTGTGCAGCAGGAAAGTTAGTGAGACTGAAAAAATGTTCAGTTGGGGCTGTTTTCTCACCATTGTAGGAATAGATTGTCATAGTGGGTTACAGCTGGGTAGGTGTATGTTCAGGGTAGTAAAGTGATGTTCATATCTAATCACTATATGTCCTGAGCAGCTGTCAGGACCAGGACAGCACATCAGCTGGTGCTGCTGACAACCCAGGACACTCTGAGCAATTTGTTGGCTGCTGTATTTAAGACAGAATGTTCTGGCTGAGCTCTGCTCTTGAGCCTGGGCTGTGGGTACAGAGAGTAGCTTGTCTCTACAGATTTGCCATAAAAAAAAAGTCATTGCTCTCATTGCAATATTCCTTTTTTTCCTTCTCCTTCCTACCTCTGGAACAGATGACAGTGGGCTCCTGGTGCACTGTATATCCGGCTGGGATCGAACGCCTCTCTTCATCTCCTTATTGCGCCTCTCCTTATGGGCTGTGAGTACCTGGCTGACCTCCTCTGTTTCTGGGGCTGATTGCTTGGAGGGTGACTGACTATCACCCAGAAGTGGTGGTGGAGCTGTTAATGTTCCTAACATTCCTTTGGAGGTGCTGTCACAGGCAGGTAGAGGAAGATGGGCACAGAGGAAGACTGTGATGGTTTTCAGCAGATCATGAATTCCCAAGTTTTAGTCCCCAGGGCTGCTGCCTGAAGGCTGTGTCATTTTCTTTGCAGGATGGGCTGATCCACACATCCCTGGAGCCAGCTGAGATTCTCTACCTGACAGTGGCCTATGACTGGTTTCTCTTTGGGTAGGCATGATAAGTTTTACTTGCATGTGCATCCCTGTGCAACAGGGGAGAAGCCTTGAGGGGTCATCTTTGATGTTTGTTCACAGCCAAGGGCTGATGTTTGAGCAGCTCCCAGTGAGCTGGGACAAGAAGGGTTGGTACCTTTTTCTTACCTAAGGGCTCAGGTATCTGGCTGTTCTTGACAGCTTGTACTCTTCTGCTGATTCTGGCATGTGACTGAGCTTCCTTTGCTCTCTTTCCAGGCACATGTTAGTTGATCGACTCAGTAAAGGAGAGGAGGTGAGTGTTGAGTCTGGGGCACTGGCTGAGCACTGCTTTGTGTTCTCAGGATATCTGTTTATGGTAGCAGCATTCACTGCCTACTCGTGGTAGTATCAGTGTTGTGGCTGGGCTCTAAAAAGATTGTTCAGGTGCTGGAAATACGAGGTAAGAGCCTTGCCCTGTCACTTTGTGATGTATAAGTTGTGGAGTTACTTCTCTCTCAGGCTGCAGTTTTGTTGGGGGGTGTCACTCCTGCCAGTTTCTCTCCTGTGCCGTTAGTGTTCAGACCCCACATCAAAGGGTGCTAGGACTTGCTGTTCAGCTCAGCAGTGAAAAGGATGCTTAAGGTGTGTGACTCCTTGAAAATAAAGCTGGATAGTCTTGTGTGCTTGTCCTGAGTGCCAGCCCTCCTGCCTGGGTGCTGCAGCTGCATGTGGCTTGCATGTGAACACAGGCTCATGGAGCAGCTTGTGCTGGTTCCAGTGTGTGAATTTTGTGGGATGTGCTTTTGGGTGCACATATGGGTCTGGGATGCACTTAAAATGAGTGGAAGTAATTATCTTCAAAATCTTTCACTGTTTAACAGCAAAAGATTGCTCTGACTATAGTTGCAGTATAGTGCAGTATAATTTCTGAATAGAGAAGAGGTGGGGTGTGTTGCTTACCCTGTTGCTATTCCTCTGCTCCTCAAACTCTCACCTTACTAAGGAATCTCCTGCCTTCAAACAGCAGAGACAGGACCCTGGCCTATTTTTCATCTTTCAGGGGAACAGAATCCCTTGAAAGATTTAGTGTCATTCCTCCTATTCATACCTTTCCTAGAGTTGTACTGGCTCAAGCCTGAGAGCTTTGCTCTGGTGCTTGCTTGGTCATGGGTGGAGTCAGCTGCAGCAGGAGAAGGGGTGCCTGGCTGCCTCTGGCACTCCCTGCTCCCCACTTCTCCTAGGAGAAGGGCACAGCTCTGCATAGGGTGGGTGAGGTGTCAGAAGCACAGTGGGGTGAATGATGCAGAGCAGACTGGGGTGTGGCAGGGCACAGTTTTGGGGCCACAAAATGTAGATAGCTCATGCTTCCAGGTGTGGTACTGGTCTGCTGCTGAGGTGGAGCATGTGGCTCTAACCATGCAAGTCCTGCCGGGTTTGCTGCTTACCTGGGTGTATAAGCAGCTGCTGCCATCTCTGTTCCATTCTGCACCAATGGCATAAGTACCTGCTGTGGGCTTGCAGCGTGTGTACATGAAAAGGAGACTTCTCTTTCCCCTTCCTTTCTGGGCCTTCCCTTGGTAGGGGGCAGGGGGGAAGTTTATATGGAAGAGAAGGCCCAGGATGGGATTGTGGCAGTCCATGGCACACTGGAGGCTGGTAGCTGCAGATTTTTGTTATCTCCTTCCTGCCAGCACCTCTTCACCAAGATAAGAGGCTGCACGGAGCCTCGGGTTCATTCCTGAACCGCTCTTCTCTTTCCCTTTGCTCAGATTTTCTTTTTCTGCTTCAATTTTCTGAAGCACATCACCTCTGAGGAGTTCTCTGCTCTGAAGTCACAGAGGTAAGGAGCCTGTGCTTGCTGCTGCATGGGCTACAGAGCCAGGGAGCTTGTTAGTGCTGCTTCTTTGGGGAAATGGAAGCCCTGGTGTCCTGGCCCAGTTTTCTTTAATTTATTCTGCACTCTGAAGGCTGCAAAACGGGGCCGAGGCTTGTGAGGTGCTACGTTGTGCTCTGAAAAACTGTCCATGCTGAAATGTGCTCTCTGCTTAACAACTGTCCGTGGCTGCTTTAGCACGGATGAACACAGAGATGTGAGCCCTGGCTCAAGCAGGCTGCACAGCAAGCTCCATCAGGCACTGGTGGGGACAGAGGGGTGGCTGTTTTTTTATGGACTGCCCAGCATAAACCCTTCTTATTTCAGGAGGGACAGAAAGAAGCAAAGCCCACCCTAGATGCCCTGAATAAGCACATCATGTGCAGTGTTGGCTGTTACCAGCTTCTCAAAGCACAGGGAGTTTGGGTTGGGATTGTTAGGATGTGCACACTGGCCCATCCTCTCCCCTCTGCCTGTGCATAGTTAATTCCCCACTACTCTGATCTGCTGTGTGTTACAGCGACCTGGCTATGGCCAGCCTCCACACTGCCTTGAAGAGTGCCTGAGGTAACTTTGTCTTTCCTTCCCCAGAAGGAAGAGTTTGCCACCTGGCTTCACCCTGGAAGAGATCTGCATGCTCAGTGAGTGCTGCTGTCAAGCATCAGTGCCCCTGGGTGCTGCTAATGGTTCATTGCTTGTGAGCTCGGGTTCCCAGCTTCAGGATGACCCTCAAATGGATGTGCTGCCTGTGGGGCCTTGCAAGAGCCCAGAGCACAGGGAAGTGTATTGCTTAAAGGGAGAGAAAGAAATCGAGCTGGTCTTCAGGTAGCTCTGTTTTCTTCTCTCTAGAGCAGAAAGACCGAGGCAGTACCACAAGCCTGAGCAGTGACTTTTCCCTGGGTATGGAAAGTTCCCCTGGAGCAGCTGGGAGCTTTACCTATGAAGCAGTGGAGCTGATGCCAGCAGGAGCACAGGCTCAAGCAGCATGGTGAGGAGATAACCACTTAGTGGGCTGAACAAAAGGGGCTGGCTCTGAGCCTGATAGAAAAAATATTTCTGAAATGTCTTGCCCTCCAGCTCTGCTCTCTGTAGCATGGATTCCTTACAGTGGGGGGAGGAATTTGGCTGTCAGAAGCTTTGCTGCAGCTTGTACTCTAGAGCTTCTGCACCAAAAATTTGAGGCCACCCCCTGTGAAAAGGCTGTCAGGCTTCTGCAGGGATGCTCTTAAGTTTGTTCATAGATGAGAGTAAAGCACATTTGTTTCATTTTCACCAGTTTCACTGTTAAACTTCATCCACAAAGGATTTCATTACTTTTAAAAGATAGTTCCAAGCTACCAGAAAAATTACATTTGACAGCAGCCTCCCCAGGGGAAAGTGGAGATGGTTTAGCTGCCCTAAAATGAAGCTTAATCAGAGTTCAGGAAAGGCACTATACACGGAGAGTGTCTGCAGTTAGTGGGAGTTGGGCTAGGTGGCCAAGAATTCCCTGTAAATTTTAGGCCCTCTACCAGCATGAGGCATGTGAACTGAAAGCAGGTTCCTGCCTGCAGCACTGCTCAGAGACATTTCCAGGGGAGAACACAGAGTTTTCAGTACTGCCTCTTAGTAGAGGGTCACACAGGACTTGCCTGGGGATGCAGGTGGCTGTCTGGAAGTGGGGAAGGTGTCTGGCAACTCCGCTACTCTGGGACAGGTGTTGGACTTACTTGTGGAATTTCTGGTGCTGTTTGGGGATTTCAGAGTCTTGCTGTAGGGTTGCCCCTCTCAGTTTAATTTTTCTCTCCTCTCCCTCAGCACATATGAAGAAGCTATTTTATATTGCAATTATTTTAAATTAAATCTGGGTTGTGCTGGAGGCATTTTAAATCCTCTGGGACGGAGCTTGCAGCCATGCTAGTGGCAGCAGCCTTTCTAAAGCACATTGTATATTCAATTTAAAGTGCTGAGAAGGGAAAGGAGACTATCCCTGCAGAATCACAAAATGGAGATGGAGAGTCCCAAACTCTTAGCCAACTGAGCAACACAGAGTCCTGTAACACACAGAGCCTACCTATCCACATCAAAGCAACTTAATCAAATAGAGAACAACTTCTCACTTGCAGGGCTGCAGGGTAGTAAAACTGAAGCATTTATGTTGCTCTGAATGCTCAGGACACACAGACTGCTGCACAGAACCTATGTGTGCTTTTTACAAGATGTGAAATGACCAAAGCATGCTGCAGAAAATAGCTGCACTTGTGTGGATGAGGGCTTGATTTTGCAGTGTGTTGCCAAGCTCTGGGTTGCTTTTGTTTCTGTGGGAGACATCAGGCTGTGTTGGGGCTAGCAGCTGCTCCACAGGGATGGTTTGGGCCATGCTGGGGGACATGAGCTTGGGAAAGGGGAAGGTTGTGAGCCTTGCCATGAGTGCTCAGTGAGGAGACTGGTCACGGATGTTTTACTGCAGGCTGTTGTGGCTCTGTAGTCTGGAGAATACATAGGACTTGCTACAAGCTAGCTGAGCTGGGCTGTGCATAGCATGAAAGGATGTACTTTGTTTTGTAGCCCTGAAAACAGGTGACCTCACAGTCTCTGTGCAGGGAGAGGCATTTGATTTTTAGCTATTCAGACCTGTTTCTGCAGGCTGTACTTGGAGATGTTGGCAGCTATGATAACATGAGATGAATAAAGCTTAAGAGAGGCTGTGGTGTGATGTTTGAGGGTGGACACCCTTCAAGAAATGAAGAGAGGATATCGCACTATACAATGAGCCTGTCTTTAGCTGCACTTGCTGACAGTGCTTGAGATCACAAAGCTGAGATGCTTTTCCATGTTTCAGGAGGAATAACATCTTTTCCCCTTGAGTTTGTTTGCTTCATAATTTTTCTTTTTTACTTTTATACATAGGGAGTTCTTTGTCCAATTCAGTGTGGTTTCGGAAGGGGAGAAATTCTTGGGACTCTTCCAGGGAAAAAACAAAACCAAACAACCGACATAAGAAGGAAAATCTTCTGAACATGGAGCAGCAGTGATGTGAATTAGTCCCAAATGCATGCTTGTTTGACATGTAGTTTGATGGTACCATGAGCTAAGGCCTGATGCAGCAATGGACAGTGAATCATGACTGAGTCTGAAAAAGGAAAGAAGCCAGAGCAGTTTGGGCTGTCAGCATAGACAGAGAGAGAACTGAAGTGTACCTACACCAGGAGTGGCTGTCAGCTGTAAGCACATGGTCAGAAGTGTGGTCAGTGGTGCCCAAAGGGAATTGCTAAAAGGGAAAATAACACTATTGGCGTGTCTCCGTCGCCCTCGGTGTGCACGAACGCCCACCTGGGCTGATAAGCGCTGTGGAGTTGGAGCAGATTGAAATGGTCTTTCCCCGCTGGGAGGCCCCTTGCTCAAGGCATTTTTGCTGCTAGACTAAACAAAGCAATCGCTGTGTGTGTGTGGGCTGATGCATTCTCCCGTCTCTGATTTCCAGGTCACGTGGATGGTGATCTATAAAAGAATGGGCTAAGATGGGTTGAGCTCAGTGTACCCCCTCCCTGAGCGTTTACCCGTGACTCATGGTTCCTTGGGAGGGAGGAGGGCGGGTTCAGTGGAAACAAGAGCTTGTAGCTGCTGGGCTAAACTCCAGGCTGTGGTGGAAAGGCTGCCTAGTTGGAGTACATAGAAAAGTCAGCTTTCTCACCCACGTCCTTTACCCCTTAGGAGGAAGAGCTGTGCATCGTCACCACAAGCCGTGCTCTGGAGCAGAGCACAGCAGTCTGAAGACAGGCTGCCTTCCACAGGGATGGTTGAAGTCAAGTCCTCCAGCTCCTCCTCATCAACCCATTCTGATAACTTCCTGAGGATTGGAAGCAGCCCACTAGAAGTGCCCGGATCCAGGTGAGATGGGACAGAGCAGGGCATTTCTCAGCAAAATGAGTGTCTGGTAAAGGGAGTGCAGGGCTGCACTTGCGTGGCTTTGGAAACACTGGAGCGCCTGTGCTTGTATCTACGAACAAACCTTGGGAGGCCTGTTCTGCTCTAGTCTGACCTTGTCTGAAGTGCTGGCCATTAAACACAGACTCTCCTGCCTGAGCCCCTAGAGGAGCAAGGAACTGTGCTGATAACAGCCAGCTGTCTTATGCCTGTCCTCAGCGCATGCCTCAACTCTGAGCTCTGGTATCTCTGCATCCTGCATGCTTACAGTTCAGAGCACTTTCTCTGTCTAACGCATCCAGCAGGGTTTGAAATGGCTGTGGTGTTTGGGGAAGGAAGCTTTTCAAACCAAACAGACCTCACTCTGCATCTATCCTGTCCCCCTTTTCACCTGGTGACCCTCCTGATAACGCAGGTTGGAAAAAACTGGGTGCTGGTGGCAAGCAGAGGTAGGAATCTGCTGGGGGCAAGCTGCAAGCATCGTGCCAGCACAAAGGATTCTGCCAAGAAGGCTGTGTGTTCCTGCTGGGGAGTGGGGACCCTGGACCTGAGCCTAATCTCACACCATAACAAAGGCACCCTTCTGGAGTCTGACGCGGCGATAGGGCAGAGTCTAGCACTGAGCTGGCCTAGGGAAGAAAGAACAGAGCCTGTGGAGCAAACACCATGTGTTTAGACCAACATGGAATAAAGAGACTCTGAGATAAGAGGTTGCTATTAACAGTGTCAAATGCTTGTGTAGCCTCTGCAGGTTTTCTGATGAGTCTTTTTCTAGTGATTCTGAGTCAGCCACCAGCCAAATCTGAGTACTTTCTCATCATATGGAAAATAAAATAACAAACAAGTAAAGCATTGAAAATTTATAAGACTTTCTTAACAAGTGTCTCTCAATTCCAGAGAAAAATCCCAGTGTCTGACAGTTTTCATAAATGATGCTAACTGTTCTCCCCAGGGAAAGACATCAATAGGAGGGGTTTGAGTTGTTGCTGGGGCCCACCTCTGAATTTTCTGTAAGATGAAAAGAATCTCCCAAGAAGAGAAGAAAATACTGGAAAGAAAACAGCTTGTCTTGGGAGCTGCTTTGTTTACAATGGTAGTGCCACAATTCCTGTGTGTGGTCCTGTGCCATTCCCAAGGCCTGACAGGCTGTTCAGTGCTTGCTGGTAGCAACCTTGCAGCAGTGCTCAGGAAGAAGCAGCTTGTAATGCTTCAGCCAGACTGCCCTGCAAGAGCAAAGAGGAGAAACAGGAGTGTAGGCAGAAGAGCACCACAGTGAGGGTTAGGGTTGCCTTATCAGACACTGTCATGGGTTGCAGTTTCTGGGTTCTAAGCATGGTATGTTTTCTCCTGGAAGAAATTCTGTCATTCCACTTGGCTTTTGATCTCCCTGCTTCAACTGTGGTAGTCTGAATTGGTCTGGTAGATAACACAGTACCTTCAGTCACCATTTTCTACCCTGAAGGAAACAATGAGTCTCATTTTGGTGGAGGACTGTGATGGAAGGAGGAGGTAAATTCTGTCTCTTTGCCTCCTGAAAAATTGTACTGAGATGGAAAAGCAGGAGCACAGAGACTGATCAGGATGCCAGAAATACCTTTATTCCTGCAGTGATGCTGGCAGGTTAACACCCAGGGCTCTTGAGATGAAGAAACCACTGTACTTGATTTTCCAGTCCTCTGTTCATGTGGCCATAGCAACAAAATACTTTCCTCAACTGCTGCTGCAGTGGTTAAAATGGTTGCTTGTAAAATGCCAGCAGGTATCCTTCAGGTAGTTCAGGCCAACAGCCCAGTTCAGGTGCTGGTATGGAGGGGAGCTCTGGAGAGAGCAGAAAGGCAAGGACTGGGCCTGGGAGCGGGGAACTGAGCTGTCCTAAAAGAAGGGGTCACAAATGCCCAGTAGAAGAAGCCATTAGAAGCCAAGCCCCTCTCCTGGCCAGACAATGTCAACAGGCTGCTGCTGTCACATTACCAGCCTGTCTTGTGAATCTTGCTCTGATCCAGGGGTCCTGGGTACCTGTAAATCCCAGAATAGTTCTTGTTAGGCAAAACACTACAAAGGCAATTCCTGTCAGTCTTTCTAGCTTATTCCAATATGATGGTAAGATCACATCTGCGGAGGACAAACACACAGGAGGATATTGCAGACTATTTGCAGAGTAGGACAAGGTGCTGCTTGTTCTACAGAGAGCTCTGAATATGGCACTGTGCCTCAAATTGAACCCCTTACACGTGACGGGGTTGCAGTTTGCAAACCTTTTCCTGTATTTGCATTTGACACTAGCGGTCTTAAGCACCCCATGACACTGCAAAAAAATTCTGTGTCTGTGTCAGGGATTTAGTGTGTGTCTACATAGCACTAATGTGGATTAGCAGCTGGATAATCTTTGGTTGAATGTGCTTTTGCTAAGTCAATTAAGCAAAACCCAAAGTACTGTGATCTAGAGAGTTGCGATCTGGAGGAGTTAAATTGCAGAGGATCTACTTTGACCAGCGGTCACAGATGGCTCAGCTGTGGGTCAGGAGGGAGCACAGTGAGAGCAGAGTGGGACAGAGAAGCTGCTGCCCCATTGCTTTGGGTGTTTTGTTGGTAGTGAAAAGACTGTGTATGCACTGTGTCTTGTTCCTTCTCGCTCAGAAGGTGTATGTGCAACATGACAGCTTGGGGTAGTAACCACAGTAGGAGAGGAATTGTTTACAGGAATTGTTTTCTGTAATTATTGCACGACCATGCCACAAAATGGGCTTGCTGGCTGGCACATGACTATGTGCTGCAATCAGAAATGGTGCTCACAGAGAACGGGCTGCTCGGGCACTATCCCAGCCTGTAGAGAACTGTCTGGGATTCAGCCAGGGCTCACTGTTCTTGGCAGGGTGCCATACTCCTTGCCAACATTTCCCACGCAAAGGTGGGAAGGGCTGCCCTTTACTCCAGGTTGCCACCAGTCTGTCTGTACGTACAGAACCTACTTAATGCTTTGGTTTGAGGCAAGAGCATATGCTGGCAAATGAGCTGCTTCCCAAATAGTTCTAGGTGTGTGGAAATACGTCAGGTGAGCGGGGGCAGCATGGGGCAGGATGGGAGCCTAGCTGTTGGCACTTGGCATTCATCTCAGTTACGTATTAAGAAAGGGAAGGATCCCTGACTGTTGCTCTGCCTCCAGTATTGACTCTTCTCTGGCAGGCAAGTGAGTGTCCATGTGCTCTGAAATATTCTGTCTTGTACAGCATGTTGCATGAGAAGCATTGACCTAATTAAAAGAAACCATTCCAGGTTAGGAGCTGCCAGTTTATGGGCTGCAAGAGGTCCCTTCTTGTGTGAAGGAACAGCTTGCAGCTCATCTCTGTTTTGCTAATCTAATTTAGTTAATCTTGCACTTTTGAGGGAGTTTCTTCCCACTCGTGGACCCGAAGAGGTGGGTGTGTGAAGCTCACTTGGATTCTTTTTCTGTCTGCCATTAGATATCTGTGGCAGAGACAGCGACTTGAAGACTGGCTGTATCTCATCTCCTCTAACCATGTCAGCTTCCCGGCTGTCCGGCTGCTTCCCAAGACTCAGGGCTGCCCTCACTCCTAGCCAGCCTCTGGCATGGCTGTCATATACTGCAGGCATGCTGTTCTTACAGACTTGGGAACTTTTTCTGGTGTCCCAGCAGTTCCAGCTCTTTCCAAGGGCCTCACTGAAGCTCTTTTGCGGCCTCTGCAATAAGGCTTTACAAGAAGTATTCAGGGTAGAAATTACAGGAAGACTTTTACCTCTAGCACTGACTGGATTGCATTGGGTTGCAGTCACCCCAGACATCTAGTCTTGGTCTCAAGCCAAGCTCAACTTTTAAGAAGCTCTGCTGCCGTTGCAGTGTGAACACAAAATTTCCCATGCTGTGTCTTCCCAGGCTTGGCCCCTGCTGTCTCTTGAGGCTGTTCATGATACTTATTGATTGGGGCATTTCCTCAGGACCCTCCCTTGAGAAGGCCTCGGGGATAGAGGGGAAGGTCTGCCACAATATCTTAGCTCTGCTGACTAGGCTCACATCTTTGGGCCAGGAAAGAAATTACCTAGACTTATTGCAGAGTCAATCAGTTTATTCAATTAATCAACAAGTGTTCTGGTGCCTGGAGGCAAGACACAGAATTGACTGCCTTGAACTCCTAGACTCCAGTGTTGTTCATTAGATGAAATCTTACTAAGTTTGCACAGCTGCTTGACAGGGTTGGGGACCCCAGGAAGGGCTGGAGGACTAGAGAGTCACCAAGTCAGTCTTGCAGGAGATACACAGTGCTGTTATCAGCCTGTCCATGGCAGAATTCAAGAGATGACTTGATCTGCCTCCGAGAGGTGGTGTAAGATCAGTCTAATCTTAGCTGACAGCCATGGAAGGTGACCAGCAGCTGGAAGCCAAGGCCACACACCCAAAGCAAAAAACAGTTTTATGTTCACCTTCTTTAGCACAGACTTATCTGATTAGTGTGGTTGATGATATTGGGCAGAGGGATATTTTTGCTGTCCTTGGTGCTCTGGATCATGGCTTGCCATGTGGGCAGAGTCTCCTGAGCAGGTTTCAGATACTACTCTCCCTTTGCAAGAGCTGCAGAACTCTGCTCTCAGAACTCTTAACCTGGAGATCCTGCTATAGTCTAAGCCCTCCTCTGCCATTCATGCTTGCCCTCTCCAAGGGCACAAACCTGTCCTCTGTTCAGCAACTCATTACTTTTTCTGGCAGAATCCTGTCTCTGCCTACTTTCAGCCCAAGCCTATTGCCTACAGATATCTTTACTCCTTTAGCTCAGTTTCTTGTCACCATGTGTGACACTCTTGTTTTTCCTGTCTGGCTGTGCTGTGCCCTCAGGGAGGTGACATCTTCTTCACTCTGCACAGAAGCAGCATTCCTCCATGCTTCTCCCTGGCATCCTGCACTATTCCCACTGTGCTTCCATCATGGCACTGTGCTGTGGGCCCAAACACTCTGCCTGCTCTCCTTCACACTGACTCCCTCTACTTTATCTTCCAAAGTCATGGAGAGGAGATGTCACTGAACAGCTGCTTCCCTTCCCTTACAAATTCCCTGGAAGGTTATCCCTGTCTGATCTCCTGGAGATCTTTCTAACAGTACATGCTTTGCTTTTGCTTTCAGTGAAGTGCCCCAATTCTTACTTTGGCATTACATACCCCAGGAAAAGCAGCATTTTGCAAGAGAGGGTTCTCCCAGTATTCTGACCCTCACTCCTCAGTTCATTAAGCAGCCAAAGAGCAAGATCTGTGTGAGACAGTGAAGCTCTGCTCTTCCTGATTTCTGCTGTCATGTCCTTTCAGAGCCTGAATATTACCCCCAAACTGTAGCTGTGATGGGAAGCTGATATACAGGGAATTGTGTGACTCCCTTTTTGCACAGCCAGCTCAGGACCACATTTCACACTGCTCAAACTTGGCTGTATCGATCAGACTAATTAAATGGCAGGCCTGGAATTAGATTGAGATTGCAAATAGGTTTCCTACTGTGCATCTCTTCCCACCCTTGCCTTCCAGTCTAGCTGAGGTCCTTCTTGCTGTGGGAGAGCCTGTCTTTCTGGCTGTTCTCTTGGTCCCTTGGGGAGCAGCTGCAGTGCGCCACTGCTATTCTTAGCTGTGAAGACAGCGTGCAAGTACCTGGCCCAGCAGAGCTGGAGCTGAAGCATTGCTCTCTGCCCAGCAGAACTCAGATAAATTATCCAGATCTTGGTAGTGTGTAATTGAGCAGCTCTGCCACAGGCTGTGCTTCCAGCTATGTAGACTCTGCGTGCAGCAAGGCTGAATAATTGCTTGCTCCCTTGGAAGCCAAGAGCTCTGGGTTTGTCTCAAGTGATTGTGCCCTCTTCTCTGAGATTTTGGAGGGACTCCTCAGGTTCACTTACCATGTTTCATGCTTCTTTCTTTCCTGGTGGGAGATTGCATCAAACAATTATCCTTCCTTGGCTATTTAGCCTGTCCTAAAGATGTTTTGTCACCTCATTTCTGGCACAGCCCTTTCTTTACCAGAGAAATGAAGAGATGTTCAGGTGCTGGGGGTAGGTGTCCTGGGTACATCTTGAGTGTTGGCTCTGTTCAGATCTGGTGGTAATGGCTGAGGAGTGATCTGCTTTCTAACTGCTGCCAGGACAATGATCTGTAAGTCTTTCCCAGCACTAACCAAGTCACAGCCTTGACTTGCCCTGCTGCCCTGTGATGTGCTAACAGCTACAACAAGCAACAGGGGAATGTCCCTTGTACAGCACAGCTTTCACATCAGTGAAGGATTCAGGGCAGGATATGCTGTTCCATCTCACTAATGGGTTTCTCAGTTCTGCATGGCCATCTGCTTCATGCTGGCTCTCTCCTGTCCAGCTCCTGGTGTGCTCCTGCTGCTTTGTTGGCCTCAGACAGCTTGGCTCTCCCTTCACTTTCAAAGGAAAGACTTGGTCTGGAGCCCAGCCTGAGCTGCATGTTGCACCCTGGTCCCTGAGTGTCAACAGTGCTGGCACAGGCGCTGCTGGCCGTCAGCCCGGCAGGTCCCTGGCAGTAGCACCAGCAGAAAGCGTGTGCTGAATGATCTGACTGATCGCACCGTCTCCCTCTCTCTCTGCCCCAGATCGGCGGACCATTCTCTGCCCGGATCTTCCGTTTCCACAGACTTTGGCAGCTGGCAGATGGTGACAGGGTGTGGCAGTATTCGGGAGCAGGCAATCCTGAGCGCAGACGCCTCTCTCCCTTGCAGCTTCCCGGATGAGTTCTCTAGCACTTGCCTGTAAGTGTCTCAAATGCAGGATCTCTCCTTGGGTCTCTCTCTTGGCTGCCTGCAAGCACTGCAACTTTATCACTCTGGCATTTTTGGAGAAGCCTGGGAGCCTATAACAAACTGTTCCATCTTCTCTGCCTTGATGTTTTCTATCCACAAACTCAGTCCCTGAGCATTCTTTGCTTATGGTGAACGTGGAAAGAAAATGGTACTTTCTCCGCCTAATGACGAGGAGCTCTTTACTTTCTGTAGAAAGAAGAGGTTTTTCTCTCTTCCTCAAAGATGCTGAATTTGAGCATGATTGAGTGCAGTTGAGGATTCATGTTTGTTAGGACAGGACTGGTAACCCAGTTTTCTTGCTTTTCGATTTTGCTCATCTTCATCTCCCCACTGGGGTCAGATCCTTGCTGGAGTAAGAGAAGGATTTTCCTTCTGTAACCCAAATTTTGTCTGGCCTTGTGCAGCATCATTTGTAGGTGCTGTGCCTGGCCAGTGTAGAGCCACAGAAACCTTGTGTCCTGCCACATCCTGCCATGTGAAATGGCTGTGAGGCAAATGTTCCTCCCCAAATAGAAATAATCCACCTCTGGAAGCTTGAAAGACTGGAGATGTGCTTTAATTGCTGTTAGAGGAGAACCTTGGTTTGTGCCTTCAGGCTGCAAACTCGCCATCAAGAAACTGAAATGGCAGATCAGGGCTGCTGCTGCCAGATGCTTGGTCCCTTACTGAGATCTGAGTACGTGCTTTGGAGGCAGAGGGCAAACAACATGAAAACCTGTCCTGTGAGACAGGCTGCCTGCCCTGGCTCTGTATCTCGTGTTGGGTGCATGTTGTGCTGCTGAACAGAGCAGAGCAGCTGCCTTCAAGTTACGGTGAAGCTACAAGATCCATGAATTGACAGATCAAAACATTGCAAGAGATGTCGGACATGGCCTGGCCAGGATCTGTTCTTCTTTCCTGAGGACACACTGAGCTGCTCCTGCAGTAGTTTGGAGATGGGCAAGAGAGAAGGGATGAAGGATGGGCATCTGAATAGTAACTGCTTTACTGTGTCCTGAGCCTGGCTGTGCTTGGTCACTGCTGATCACCAGCAAGTTGTTGCTGCCCTTGGAGTTGGATCCAATGTCAGAAAAGGGAATTCAGTAGAGAAACATGAATCAAAGTTGATAGGCTTATGCCGTTTGGAGAGTGACTGCTTGGGGCAGTGGATTCAAAAAAAGAGAACAGTGGTGGTGTTTCTCCTGTGGGTGCTCTGCCCTGTTCAGCTATTCACTAAAGCTGTGTTGCTTGAGGGCTGGGGACTGCACAACTGAAGGTGCTGGGACCAGGCACTGCATTGAAAGGATGAAGAGTTCCCAGTGGTGTTGTGTTGAGCTTAACACAGAGCCTCCACCCTCTCTCTGCTCTGCATCAGCCCTGTTTGCTCAGGACTCCATTGTGGTTTTATCCCAGTTTTTGCAGCCCGACACAGTATGATTTTTTTTTCTTTTAATTCCATTTACGTTCCCACTTTGCATCTTCACTGGCAGCAGCTCGATGAAGGTATGCTTTTCACAGCCTACTTCTTGTGCTTGTGTGGGGCTTGTCAGGGCTTACTTCGAGCTGGGGCTTTGACAGCCTCCTCTCATCCCGCACCCCAAGCTGCAGGCAAGCGGGCAGGCTGTAGGAAGTGTAGCGGGGCAGAGTGCCGTGGATTTGGCAAGGAAGCACGACCTGCCTCCGCGGTGAGCAGTTCAGGGTGAAATTCTGCAGCCAGTCTGCAGGGCTTGGTGTGGAGCAGTGGCTGGCTGCTTGACCCTGTGCCTTGGAGTGTCTCACTCCATGAAACAAACTGAAAAACCCAAATACAAAATCTGCCCTGTAAAGAGGTGTGAGAGCCACAAGACATGGGACCTAACTGCTGCACGCCCTCGCTTACCTCTGCGCGTGACATCTGAGATCGCTGAACTCGGGTGCAAGTAAGTCCTGCTTTCATGGAGTTTATTTTAAATTCTAGCAGGTTTGCGAGTTCCATGTCCTAATTAGGTTGCCAAAAAGCATCACTAATGTGTTTAGATATGTTGTTGCCTTTTTTTGCCCTCTGGCTTCTCTTTATTATCAGACACAGTAAACAGCGGCCTGGTTGGCTGCCTCGGCATCGCTTGCTGTTTATAGGCCTCCCACCATATCCTCTTGCTGCTGTTTCCGGACCGAAGCTGTTGGCTGTGGGTGGTTAACACTTCCATTCAGATGAGCTGTGCCAATTTATAGCCAGCCCAGGCGCTGGAAGATTAAAGAGAATTTTTTATGGGGAAGGTTTGCACTGTGCCCTTGGAGTGACCTTTGAGGAATGTCTTAATCTCTCTGGGAACCACTGGCATGTCGCAGAGGCACCACAGCAAGGATCATTTTAGGCTGGAGAACTTGGAACAGCTGCCTCTGGGCCCCAGTTTTGCTTTCCCCTGGCTCCCTCAGCCAAAGTCTCGCCTTCCTTCTGCTGTTTTCCCCCTGCCCCTAACCAGGTGCGTGGATCAGCAGGAGAGGAGAGCAGGTCCCATGGGACGTCATGGCCTACTCTGCTCCTGTTTGCTGAGAACAGCCATGCTGGGGAGCAGAAGTAAAGCGCTGCTCAGCTCTCTTCTTCCTGTGGCTGGAGTGTTCCTTGGGGCTTTTGTCACCTTGTCTGCTCCCTCTCATCCCCCCTTCCAGAGAGCTGTCTGTGCTGGCACAAACACACTGGGTCTGGTGGAAGTGAGGGATGGTTGCAAATAGGTTGGAAGCAGCTGTCTGGGCACAGCACTGTGGACAGGCATCATCTGTGTGAGGAGGGGAGGGAGCTGGCACAGGGACTGATGTCAGCACCCACTTGGCCAAAGCACCACTTTGTTTATGAACTGCAGCCTTATGAGCACCACAGTGGTGGGAGAAACAGGGGACAGTGGGATGGATGTATGAAGAAGGAAACCCTGTGGGGAGCAGGAGACTGAGGCTGCAAGTGGCTCCGTGGGTTGGGTTGGATGAGGAGGCAGTGGCACCAGCTGCCACCAGCTCTGTGGACAGCCTTTTGGGGCTTGCACTGCTTTATCCACTGCAGCCTGTTGAGCACCACAGGACCCGTTTTAGGAGTGAGATCTGGGGTGTGGAGAGGGATGGCTGTAGTCACTGACCTCCCTTTCTCTCTCCTAGACTGGTGTCAGCGAGTGACCGTGAGTCCCGTCTGGAGGAAGTGCGTTCTGCCTTTCTGGCAAACTACAGCCGGACCATCGGCCTAAAGGCCGTGCCCCCCAGCCCCTCAGGGGCCATCGGTGGCCTCCTCGAGCAGTTCGTGCGGGGCGTGGGACTGAGAGGCAGCAGCACCCTCTGATCACGGCGTTCCCAGACCTGGAAACGTTTCCACTGCCTGGAAAACGGGCTGGAGCATCCCCCAGCAGTCCTGGGACCCTCTTCTTGGTGCGGGCACCTGCTGCACCCAGCGCCTGCCGCCAGCCCCCTCTGCCTGGGGCTGGGGGGTGCGGGGGTCTTCGGCGAGTCTCTGCAGTAAATGACCCGAGCTGTGCCCTCTCCTGCCTCCTCTCTGGGCTGCGTGCGGGGGGCGGCGCGGGGGAGCCGCGCTGTCGGGGGCGCCGCTCACTATAAATAGCCCGGCCCACTCTTCGCGAGCGTCGGCACCGAAATAACACCGAGCCGAACCCGGGAGGAAGCCCCCGGCGGGGCGGGATTCGGACTGAGCCCCCTCTTTCCCTGACTGGGAATAGCGGGCGGGACGTTCCGGCGGAGCTGAGCCCCAGGAGCCGAACCCCCTGGTGCCCGGGTTGGTGCCCCCGCTGCCGGCAGGG